TTTGTATTGTTTTTAGGAAGGTCTCGCAGCTCAGAACTTGGCGAAATACCGTCAACTTCAACATGCCCTGGAAGATGCCGAGGAACGAGCTGATGCTGCCGAAAATGCATTGGCTAAGATGCGACTGAAGAACAGGAGTGGATCTTATAGATCATTAGCCCATTCCGTAAGCTTGCATTATCAAAATTTCCCAAGTCTTCCAATTTTCAAGATTTTTAGCATAATTTTTGCAGGCATCGTCCAGTGCCGTGCACATGCGAAGTGGATCACGAAGTCGAGTCCTTGAAGATGGTGTTGATGAGTAGATGTTACTGCCAGATATTTTCAATATTGAAGACTACATTATTCACTTATGACTTCACTTTTTACTTCATAATTTTATATAACTTAGTTTTTATCATAAAACAGCGAAACAAAATTTTCCTCGTTCATCCACTCAAGTTTTCGTTCCACAAACTCTTGCAATGAGCTTTCGCCCGTCCGTTCTCATACTATGTGTGCGTTTTATAATCAAACCAAACGATTGAAACGTTTTGATTTTTTGTGAAAGTTTGTTCAATTCATGCAATAAAATTATAACCTTAATTGCCAAGTGTGAGATGCGGTCTTGTAGCCGCAAATTTATATGGTTAAAAGTTCGTCTTTCGAAGGTGTGTCAATGTCTAAAGACGTTCGTCGCAGAATTGAAAAACGGCATGAGTTCAGAGGTTCTGTGGTTTTGGTAGGTGGTATACTTCTTATCTTATACCAATCCCACAAAACAGGGAAATCTGATTGAAAAAAATGAGTTGTCTTAACTTCTTTTCTAGTTTAATCCTGACGCTTCTTCTTCTGCTTCTCAATTGTGTGTCAGCTATGTTGCACGATAGTCTACCAGAATTCAAATGAGAAATCATCTAAATGTGCCAATGCGATCAATATAGTTACACACTGGACTCAGTCGACAAAATTCGACCATTCAAGTTTTTACAAAAATCGGATTGTTACACGATGCGGATGTAGGGTACTATGTCCCATAAAATATGAAGAATTTTCTAGGCAGCGTAATGGGAGACATGTGCTCTGTATGTATTCTTACCATCTTATAAATTTATTTTTCATTTGAAGATTTTTCTGAGTCTAAGATGTTAAAACTAAACTTTTAAAATGTCTGCTTCTGTTCATTTTCATTCTGTTCTTTTTTCAAATTCGGGTGATTCCAGTATGTTTTTTAGCATGTTGGAATATTAGTATCAGTTTATGGTAAATGTTTTTATTCATATGTTTCTTTGAACGTTTCTAGCGTATTAATCTGTGCAAATATCAAAAATTCCTCGTTGATTATTGGGCCTTCACCTTACTGTAAAATTTGAAGGATCCATCTTTTGCTTCGCAGCTGAAAAGATTGGGTAGTTGGCGACTTTAGTATCAAATAGCAAACGTTATTGTAAAGAAACTGACTGGTATTCCAGGTGGCCAGCTGTAACGCTTCCATTCAAGGGGATCACTTTATCAACAACCTCTACCTGTAATCTTTTAATGTAACTGATCATAGAGGCTTTGAAGTAACGTAAAGCCCTTACCCTGCATCCGGTAATCTTCACTCGTCCTCGCTCCTCGCATGTTTTTACAAAGTATTGATTTTCTACCCATTTTTCGCCTGAAAAACTTGAAGATGTGCATTTCAGAAAAACCTAGGC